CCCACATTGTGAGTCAGAGTCTTCTTTGGAAGTTGTAGTATCAGAGTCATTGTCGCTTCCTTTATCACTGTCATCATCTTCTTTGCAGTCCTCTCCTGTAAAACCAAGTTGCTGCTTCAGAAACTCTCGAGCCTTAGTAGCAGTGTCAATTCTTTCTTTTTTGTCGTTTATCTTAAAGAGGATGCCCTTGGGTACCAGCCATCTATAGGGGATGTTGTTTCTTTGTAAAAAACTTGCCAAGTCTTTGAATTTCTTTCTCTTCTTCCTAATTTCAAATGGAATATATTTCAAAACTCTTATTTCCTTGCCCTTGATTTTTAGGGATGTTCCTGATGTTGCTTTCAGGATTTGATCCCTCACATGCCTTTTAGAGAATCTGACCACTATCTCCCCAGGCAGATTTTTCTTCTTTATATATTCTGGATATGATCTATAAATCACATTCATCTTGCTTTGAATATAATCCGCTTTTAAATCTGCAATCGGGACCAAGGCATCACTCAGTACTTGTTTCAGATTCTCCCCCTTAGTTTTAGGGTGCCCCTGAAATTTCAGGACAAAGCTTGCTTTTTCCATTTGCAGTTGCAAAAGCTGTGATTCAGCAGTTGTTCTCTTCTTTTCCAACATCTGCACATGATTTTTAACCTTTTTAGTCTTGGCATCGACCTCCTTCACCCTCTCGGCTGTCTGCTCTGTCTTTTTATTAATTTCGCTTAGCTGGAGCTGCTGGGCTGCAAAGTTCTTATTTAAAGTTGTCAGTTGCTGGTTTATATTTGTCATTTGTTCCAGCAGAGGGCGCAAAGAGTCCGCTAACATCTTTGAAATATCTGTGGTAGTTTCCAATCGGCTGACCAGACCAACTGGGCTAGGACTTCCTGAAGAAGGCTTAAGTTTTGCTTGCTTATCCTTCTCGGGTTTTTTGCCTGCCATCTTTGAGGATGTTTACTTTTAAAAATCATTTGCCAAAAGTCTCTAAAGTTCACGCTAGTCTTGTAAAGCTCTTATGAAGTTCTTAAAACAGTTTTGTTTGCTTTTAGACCCATCTCCCCCTTTTGGAAATGTCTCTGTCTTTTCTTTGTGTTTGGGGAGTTCCCTCCCCCACTCGCTTATATCACTGGGAGGGAGGCTTTCTGCCTTTATCCTGGTGCTTTCGCTTTCAAGAACTCACAGTTCATGTCGGCCCAAAGACCCATATCGGTCTGAAGACCTCGCCAAAGGTACGTGTTGCTTGCCCGGCCTCTACACACTTGTCCCGGTCAGCAGCTCAAGATCCATTGCGGAAAAACAGCGGCAGGACTGTCAGGGCAGAAGGGAGACTCAATTCTCCAGCAGCGTGCCAGAGAGGCAACCCTTTAGCGCCCCAACGTAAGGGCCCCGGGGGAGTGTGTACAATCACACCCCCTCCCAACCACTGGCATGCAGATCGTGTCCCCGGGAGCTCTCCAGGGATGTGTCCGCCATTGAGATGCCAAAAACCGGAAGTCCGGTTTCCTGCTCTAATGGACATGGCCCAGGGTCAGTACCTCCCAAAACACTCAGATTTGATCAGCATGAATTGGGTGCTGCATCATGACGTAGGTCGTCTCAGTTTGGCAGCATGGAGGCTCCAGATAGGGACCTAATCTTCTCACAATTTTATGAGGTTCTTTTGTACTCTTGCAAACCCACTGCTAGGAGTTGGGAGGTGGAGTCACTTTTCCCATTGGTGTCAAGATAAGAAGGTGTCTCCCATTAGGGCCTCTCTACAAGCATTGAGATGCCAAAAACCGGAAGTCCGGTACAAATCATGTTTGAATACTTACTAGACCTGAGGGCTGGGGGGTCTGGCCTTTTCATCCCTTAAGGTCCACCATGCAGCTGTTTCATAGTACCATGTGTGGTGAAAGAAGAATCAGGTTTTTTTCACTGTTTACCTACGATGTTCCTTAATGGCTTATTTAATCTTTGTCCTCCATGGGACCCTATGGTTCCCCAATAGTCTCTTTCAGTAGTTTTGGCCATCTAATGCTTAAACCCTTTGTACCCCTGGCTACCTGTTCCTTAGCAGAGCTTTCCATGAAGGTCTGTTTCTTAGTGGCCATTACCTCATCTACGAGAGTTAGTTTATTTCTTTGTTTTTCCCCAGTTTGGTAGCTTTTCATCAACAAAAGAAATTACTGGCCACCAATTCTCTGTACATTGATGCTTCGTTTATCTCCCTTGTTGAGTACTAACATTTTCAGATCCAGTTATGCTCACAGGGGTTCTGCTTTCTTCCACTGTTGTGTAATAACATGGTGTTGGATCCAGCATTGGATTTCCACAGAGAGAAGTGTTTTGGGGTTTTTTTTGCCAATTCCCCCCTCCTGCTGCAATCCACTGACTCTCTCCTCATGTTAGGGATGACAGGCCATTGCTTGGCACTCCTGGGAGGATTAGTGTGTGTGCGGACAGGTGCAGTGACACTTCTGGTGAAAACTGGAAGTGATATCTAGGGTTTGCCAGAGCTATGGTTAGACCATTTCATCTAGTTTTTCTCTCACTAGCTTTTGTGGCACTAATGGGCAACACACTGCTGGGAGGTCTTCTGCCATAGCAGGAAACCAAGGGTCCCTACCTCATGCTGTTCCTGAGGATCCTTTCTCCCTCAGGAAGCGTATTTGGGGCAGTAGACTGGCCCCACTGCTCTAAAAACATCACATATCTCTGTAATCTGTTTAAACATTGAAAAACATTTCCACTGCTGAAAATGAAGGGCAAATGGTATAGTGTTGAAAAATCTAAGTGATTGCTACGATAGTCATGGAAAATGGCTTAACTAGGAAAAATACAAAAGAGACTTATTCTTTATGGAGGCAGGATTTGGAATTAGGCTTGCCAACTCTGGCAAGGAGGGGGAGGAGGCGGAGATGATGATTGGGTTTATACCTGCCCTTCACTCGGAGTCTCAGAGCGGCTTACAAATTCCTTTTCCTTCCCCTCCTTACAACAGACACCCTGTGAGGTAGGTGGGGCTGAGAGAGCTCTTTCAAGAACTGCCCTTTCAAAGATAGCTTTGACAGAACTGTGGCTTGCCCAAGGTCATCCAGCAGCTGCAAGTGGGGGAGTGGGAAATCAAACCTAATTCTCCCAGATTAGAGTCCGTGCACTTAATCACTACACCCTCCTGGCAACTGGTGGGGGATGGGGGGACTTACGGGGAGTAGGAGGGAGGCCCATCCGACATGCAGTGACATGTCTATGTCACTGACCATGTGATCTGGAAGTGGCATCATAACTTCTAGGACATCAGGCTGACACTCTGATATTTGGGCAAAAGCGCTATTTGGCTTCTACCATAGCGTTTTTGCCCAAATACCAGAGTATTGCCCCAATGACCCAGACATGATGACATCACTTCAAGGTCACATGGGCAGTGACATAGACACGTTGTTGCATGTTGGATGGCTCTCCCTCTTTTGGGGGGGGGTAACTTCCCACCAGCCAGCTGATGGGTGGCGGGGGGTGGTGGTGGAGTCTGACAGTGGGGGACCTCTGCCTCCACTGGGGGAGGGGGCAGGGCTTGTGGAGGAGGAGAAGCTCAGTGTCGTGGGACTGCCAGACCTTGGAGACAGTTACAACTCCTCTGTTGAGGAACAGCTGGATACTATGTCTACCAGCCAGCTGCAGCTGAGCTGCCAGACAGGGAATCACAGTCAGTGAAGTGCTGATTTTGTCCCCCATCCCTAAGCTGACAGTTCAGGGTTAGCCAGCTGACCCATCTTCCCCAGGATCCCCAGGTCCGTAAGAGCAACGCTGGCTCAGGCTCCAAGCCCAGCATCGGCTGTCAGCTGCAGAGGAAGGAGGAATGTCACCAGAAGAGAAGTGAAGCAGCTGGCGCAGGTGTGATGTAGTGCTTGGAGTGCATAACAGTATGAGGGAGGAGCTTTTCAGCATGGCTTTAACACGTTTCCCTTAGACACTGACCTGCTGCTGCTATATCTGTCTTGCTTCTCAGAAAATTCACCTTGGCCTGCTCACACAACTCTTGTATAATTTATAAACTCTGGATGATTTCCCACAAGCTGCTGCTCCGCGCTCATTCCTCCCTTTGCCCTGATGGTACATGTCAATTTCACACCATGTGCTGCGCGGCGCATTTTGCTCCGCAGCTTTTCCCGATTTCCCCCGCGTCTACTCAATCCTGTTTTTTAAGGATTGAGTAGACATGGGGGAAATCGGGCGAAGCTGCGGAGCAAAATGCGGCCGTGCAGCACACGATGTAAAATTGACACATACGATCGGGGCAAATGGAGGAACGAGCGTGGAGCAGCAGCTTGTGGGAAATCAGCCTCTGTTTATTAAACTCGGGCATCCTGCCTCTGACAACCAGCTCCCATTATCTGCCTGAGTTAACTCTGCATACACTGGCACCTGCCTGAAGCAGAACACGCAGTGAGGATGTGATGCCATAGAGTCTACCTTGTGAAGCTTCCGTTTTAATTCTGGGAGATCTCCAAGCCCTACCTGAGCACTGGCAACGCTAGGTGCTTCTGCTGGCTTTCTGGTGAGGCTGTAAATTCAGATTATTCCACAGAACTTTTGGTGCAGCCTGAGTCTTGGCTAAAGGGAATACTTTCCAGGTATGCCCAGGGTGTTTTCAGAATAGCAATTTTAATGTAGTATTTAATGTATTATGTGTATTGTTTTAATGTTTTAAGTTATATGATTTTATATGTAAGCTGCCCTGAGCCTGCTCTGGTGGGGAGGGCGGGATATAAATCAAATAAATAAATAAATAAATACCTTTATTGCATTTGAGTCCTGGGTTGGTCAGGAGAAAAGCATACATGGGATATACTGTTAATAATTAAATAAATAGAGCACCTGTTATACAACAGTACATCTATGCACTCTGGAACTTCTGCATACTAACAGAAGGGAGAGAATTTTTCCCTTGTTTGCAGTTGTTTGGTGGAAATTATTTACCCTCCAACAGCTGAGCACTCAATAACACCATTATTCTTGGTTGGATGTGGAAGATGAATAGGGTGAGTTTGAGATGATGCCAGCTAATTACAGCTTGACTTCTGTTCTTTTCCCTTTTTTATGTGCTGTACTTTTGGTTAAGGGGGTAGAAAACCAGGACCGACGTGTTCAATATACAGCGACGGCTACTATGCCTTTAATTTTTACACTGAACGGTAGAATTTCTTTTTCATGAAAGTGCTGCTGCAAAGTTGCCAGGTGTCCTCCTGCTCACACACCTTGTAGTGCTTCTGTGCCTGAAACAGCTGCATGGCAAGCAAAAATTCAGTGTGGAGAATGATGGTAAAAGCCTCAGTTTCTGCTGTCACAATTTTGATAAAAGCACAGAAATATATATATAAAAAATTTTATTTTTATTATTTCAATTTGTATCCCGCCTTGCCACAGAACTGGCTCAAGGTGGCTAACAACATTAAAAACAATAAAACAATAAATACATTAAAATACAATAGAGTTTAAATACAACTGCCTAAGCAGTTGAACAGTACTACTAATGATGATGATGATGGCGGCATACAATGTACAAACAGAGGCAATAACCAACTGATGTTTCATGCAGGCTGAGATGTATTCCGGCGGCGCATTTGTCAGTGGTGCATTCGCCAGTGGCCCACTCATCAGTGGCGGCTCCTAATCGAAAGCCTGGTGGAAGAGCTCCATTTTGCAGGCCCTGCAGAACTGTAGAAGGTCCTGGAGGGCCCTGATGGTATCCAGGAGCTCAATCCACCAGCATGGAGCTGCCACTGAAAAGGCCCTGGCTCTAGTAGCAGCCAACTTGATGTCTCTCGGGTCTGGAAGAGTCAGGCGGTTCTGTGTTCCTGACCTCAGTGCTCTCTGGGGCACATGTGGGGAAAGACGGTCCCTCAAGTAGGCAGGCCCCTGACCATATAGGGCTTTAAAGGTCAAAAACAGCACCTTGAAACGGATCTGGTAAGCTATTGGCAGCCAGTGCAGTGCCTTCAGCACAGGTTGGATGTGGTCTTGAATAGAGAGACCCATCAACAGCCTGGCCGCTGCATTTTGCACTAGCTGCAGCTTCTGGATCTGAGACAAGGGCAGCCCCATGTAGAGAGCATTATAGTAGTCCAATCTCGAGGTGACCATAGCATGGATCACTGTTGCCAGGTTCGAGGAAGGGAACCAACTGCCTAATCAGCCCTAGATGGTAAAAGGCTGCCTTGGCAGTGACTGCTACCTGGGCCTCCATTGTTAAGGCAGCATCCAGGAGCACTCCCAAGCTCCTAACCCTCGGCGCTGGCACCAGTGGCGTGGCGCCCCATTGAAGGTTGGGAGTTGGATCCCTACCCCCGGTCTGCTCCGACTCAGGCAGTATAGTAGTAGAAGATGCTGCATGTGCCAGAAATCTTACTAGGTGGTTGTGGTGATAAATTTGAGGAAGAGAAAATGATGTTGTAAACTGCTTAGGGTTCTCACTGGGGAGAAAAAGTGGTGTGTAAATAAACAAATCTATGAAAATTAAAGGCACAAGACCCTCTCTCCAGTCATGGTTGAAAATAAATTTACTTGCCAACTGTGGGACTTAACTTCTGGTTAAAATGTGCCAATGATTGTGCTTTACATCTAAACGAGAGACCTAGATCCTCCCATCTTTTCTTTCCTGCTTTCTGTTGAAATGCTTGAGGGAAATTACAGGGTGTGTAGGAGGAGGGCATGCTGAGATGCCCTCCTTGCTTGTATGCTGCTAGAAGTCACATATTCAATACAAGGACACTGCAAGATTTGTATGTGTGCCATAATGCACCCTCTCTTTGAAATATCAAGTGTTGTTTTTTGAGTGGCTGTGTAATCCCGAATGCTTTTCCTCCCTCCCTTTCCCAGGTGCTCTCTCATAACCTGTACACTGTTCTGTGTATTCCCCATGATCCAGTGGCGCTGGAGGAACATTTCAGGGACGATGATGATGGTCCAGTATCAAGCCAAGGGTATATGCCATATCTCAACAAATACATCTTGGATAAGGTAAGCTCACTTTCTCAGTGTCTCCATCATCTGAGACTCTTCAAGTATGCAGAGGGCCAAACTACATGGCTTGTTTCTGTGTGGGCTACAAGGTTTTTCAGGCAGATGCTGTTTTGCGAGTCACCCCTACTGTGGAATGCATGGGACTCAACTTGGAAGAGGCTCACAGCATGGAGAAAGAGGAAACTCCCCAGACCATTTTCTCAACCACAGCCCTGGGGAATCACTATTTGCCCTATAGGGGCTGCATGTGTAGTGATGGGCTACAAGTATAGTCTGCAACAGGGCAAGTAGAAGCTCTTTGGGGCCTTTTCAGATCAGGAAGATGGTATAGGGAGAAGCTTAAGGCTTCCCCCACATATTATGGTTCTGCTCCCTGCAGAATGGGCTTTTTCCATTACAGTGGACTTACTACCTTATCAACGTGGCCACTTGACTGCAACTTCCAAAGGCCCAGCTAGGTGTGCCATTGGGAGATCCATGAACAGATCTCCCCATTTTTAAAAAGTGGAAACAGCAGTTGTAAGAGGGAGGGGGGATTTAGTATGGTGCGGGGTGAAGAAAGAAGGGGTTAATCCTTTCCTTCTTCACCATTTTCCTAATCTAAGACAGTCCCCCAGAATAGCTCTTCCTGCTGTGATCAGTAATCTTACAGTAAGCACAGTAGCTTTGTTTATAAATTACAACTTGCCTGTAGCTGCACACATCCATTTGTAAGAAAGAACCAACATGTGTTCATTTTACAATTGATACCAGGGACCAGTATCTGGATAAATGGAAGTTTTAAATCACCCCTTGTAATGTACATAAGGGGCCGTGGTGGCTCAGAGGTTAAGACACTGAGCTGCAGACTGGAAGGTTTGTAGTTCGGCAGTTCAAGACCCTAGTGCTGCATGACGGAGTGAGCTCCTGTCTCTGGCCCCAGCTCCTGCCAACCTAGCAGTTCCAAAGCAAGAAATTGCAAGTAGATAAATAGGTACCGCTTCGGTGGGAAGGTAACAGCATTCCGTGCGCCTTGGCGTTTAGGCATGCTGGCCACATGACCACGGATACGTCTTTGGATAACACTGGCTCTTCGGCTTGGCAATGGAGATGAGCACTGCCCCCTAGAGTTGGATTCGATTAGCTTTCAAGCAAGGGAAACCTTTACCTTTATTTTGAACTGTACATGCATTGAACATAGCACATAGCATAGAATATAGGATGAGAATTACTCAATGCTCTTATAAACTAAAATCAAATGTAAACTGTTCACGGATTGTATATGTGTTCACTGTAACTTGTGAACAAGGCTAGTGCACAAGCAACTCATTATTTAAGGTTCTTATTCTTATATCGCTGCTTTTGGGGGTAGAGGAGTTGTTAATCTTGTTTTAATCATTCATGTTGACTTTGCACAGGCAAGAATGATGATGGCTTCTCCCATATGGTGAGAGCTCTCCACGTTTTCATCAATGCTGTAAATATATAGGCAGGTGTGTTGACAATGAAGTTTCCACATGTGGGAATTTTCTGTACACTTTGTCTTTTTGCTGATTTTTCCTTCCCACCTGTGCTCTGCAGCAGCTCTACATTGGCTTTTGGGGTGCAGTCAACATGATGACTTGCTGACCCTTTCTGTTTGTTCTTTTCTTTACATTTCTCAGGCCTGACCTTCGATGGGGCTCCATTGGTGCACACTTTACCCCTTTTGACCCACTTAGGGATTGAATTTCTAAAAATCCCTTCTTAGTGAGCACCTATGCCACAGTAGGAGTGCTCTCCCCGTGTCTCTAGGTCCAGCGGTTTGGCCTGGGCGTTGATTTTATGGTGAGGGAACTTTCTTTTATATATATAGAAAGAAAGTCCCCTCACCATAAAATCAACACCCAGGCCAAACCACTGGACCTAGAAACACAAATTTGGGGAGAGCACTCCTACCGTGACATAGATGCTCACTAAGAAGGGAATTTTAGAAATTCGACCCCTAAGTGGGTCAAAAGGGGTAAAATGTGCTCCCCCCATTGATTCCTATGTGGCTGCCAAGCTGTTGCCTCCTTCACCCCCCACTCTCCGATTGGTCAGCTGCAGAGCTCAGTGTTCTGAGGTAAAATACCCCGAACAGTTATAGGAGACTGCAGAGAGCTAATGACAGTTGAGGAAATCAGGAATGGCTAACAACCACCTTTGAGGTGAAGCAAAGCTGCTAGCCCAGCTTCCCTGATGGCTTCCAACACACTTCCACCCCCTTCTACACCTAACAGGCGGTTGTCTGTCAGGTGCAGCAGCGGTTGCAGGGTGCTTAAAGCCATGAGGGAGCCCACCCCAGCAGTAACACCTTAGTGATCCTGCCAGCCCCGCCTCCACAGTGGCTTCTAATACTCCTCCTCCCTC